GGGACAGTGAGAGTGAGGGCTGACGGTCTGGGACAGTGAGAGCAAGGGCAGGCGGTCTGGGACAGCGAGAGCAAGGGCGGGCGATCTGGGACAGCCGTTGGATCAAGGTCAAGCCTGAAGCGGGGCTAGTCGAGACCTTGTGAGGAGTGCTGGCCCCGCATTGCCAGGTGCTTACAGACTGTGATGTTGAGCTGTTAATTGTGTTTCTTTGTTTTTCTACTTTTTAGTAAGAAGGCCTGTAATGTTTAAGCTTTTAACTTTGCTTTCTTTATCTTTCTGCTTTGTGCCAAGATTCTGTGCCCTGGTACCTTTATACCTAACACAGTGCTATAAGTGACAACTTGTAATTTTATCACTGTACTCATGTGGGTACATGTGACAATAAACCTAATTCACATTCAAATTTAACTTTCCTAATGATCGAGAAGAGACTGATGGGGTGGCCATTGGCTGGAGTGGATTTGTCTTCCTTCTTTGTGTACAGGACATACCAGGGTAATTTTCCATACTGTCAGGTAGATGCCTGTGTTGTAACTGTACTGGAACAGCTTCACTCGTTCTGGACCACAGGCCTTCAGTACTATTGCCAGCATGTTGTCAGGGCCCATAGCCTTTGTAGTATCCAGTGCCTCCGATTGTTTCTAAATATCACATGGAATGTGTTGGCTGAAGACTGGCATCTGTAATGCTGGGGACCACTGGTGGAGGGTGAGATGGATCATCCACTCAGCACTTCTGACTGAAGATTGCATCAAATGCTTCAGCCTTATTTTTTACATTGATGTGCTAGCTTCTTCCATCATTGAAGATGGGGATACTTGTGAAGCCTCCTCCTCCAGTGAGTTGCTGAAGTGTCCACCACCATTCATGATCGGTTGCGGCAGGACTGCAAAGCTTAGATCTGATCTGTTGGTTGTGGGATCACTTAGCTCTGGCTATCACTTGCTGCTTATGCTGTTTGACATGCAAGTAGTCCCGTTTGGTAGCTTCACCAAGCTGACACCTCATTTTCAGGTATGCCTGGTGCTGCTCCTGGCTTGCCCTCCTGCACTCTCCATTGAACTAGGATTACCATAGAACATAGAATAGAACTGTACAGCACAGGAACGGGTCCTTTGGGCACGTTGTGCCAAACATGATCCCCTTGCTTGATGGTAATGGTTGATTGGGGGAATATGCTGGACCATGAGGTTGCAGATTGTGCTGGAGTACAATTCTGCCACTGCACATGGCCCACAGTGCCTCAGGGATGCTCAGACTTGAGTTGCTAGATCGGTTTGAAGTCTGTCTCATTTAGCACAGTGATAGTGATGGACGGTATTCTCAATCTGAAAATGTGACTTCATCTCCAAAAGGACTGCTCAGTGGTCATTCTCACCAGTAGGATCATGGACAGACGCATCTGCAGCCAGCAGATTGGTAAGCATGAGGTCAAGTATATTCTTCCTTCTTGTTGGTTTCCTCACCACCTGCTACAGACTCAGTCTAGCAGCTACATCCTTTAGGAGCCAACCAGCTCGATCAGTAGTCCTGCTGCTGAGCCACTCTTGGTGATGGACGTCGAAATCCCCCTCCCACAGTACATTTTATGCCCTTGCCACCTTCAATACTTCCTCCAAGTGTTGTTCAAAATGAAGGAGTGATGATTGATCAGCTGAGGGAAGACAGTATGTGGTAATCAGCAGGAGATTTCCTTGCCCAACTTAATCTGATGCCATGAGACTTCATGGGCTTTGGAGTCAATGGTTGAGGGCTCCCAGGACAAGTCCCTCCCAACTGTAAACCACTGCCCCGCCACCTCTGCTGGGTCTGTCTCGCCGCTGGAACAGGACATATTCAGAGATGGTAATGATGGTGTCTGGGTCATTGTCTGTAAAATATGATTATATGAGTATGATTGTGTCAGGCTGTTGCTAGTCTAGTCTGTGAGACAGCTCTACCAATTTTGGCACGAGCCCCCAGAGGACTTTGCAGCGTTGACTGGCCTGTTTTGTTGCCATTGTCAATTCTAATGCCTGGGTCAGTCCAATTTTAATTCTTTGTTGAAACTTTGTAGCGATTGATACAACTGACTGGCTTGCTAGGCTATTTCAGAGGGCAGCTTGGAGTCAACCACATTGCTGTGAGTCTGGAGTCACATGTAGGCCAGACCAGGTGAGGAAGGCAGATTTCCTTCCCTGAAGGACATTTGTGAACCAGGTGAGTTTTTCCGAGAATCTACAATGGTTTCATGGTTTTCAATAGCTTTTTAATTCCATCACCTATGACCTCATCCTTACCAATCTGCTAGCTGCAGATGTATCTGTCCATGCCAGTATTGGTAAGAGTGACCATTGTGGAGGCAAAGTCCCATCTTCACATTGAGAATACCCTCCATCCTGTTGTGTGGCACTATCACCGTGCGAAATGAGACAGACTTCAAATAGATCTCGCAACTCAAGTCTGAGCATTTGAATTTGTAATTTGAATTCAATTAAATTGAGAGTCTAATGATGACTATGAATCCATTGTCGATTGTTGGAAAAATCCGCCTGGTTCACTAGTGTCCTTTAAGGAAGGAAACTGCGTGGTATTGAGCAGACAATACCACAGGCACAGTCACAGCACTGCTTGCCTGAATTTTGCAATTCAGTACTGAAATAACCAAATGTGCCAGCAGATTAGGGTTAACAGATATTAAGAAATGTAATCTACAAAGATAGAGAAAAGTGCAGGTTCTGCAAGTTGATCAAAGTGTGAGTGGTATTCAGCATTGAATTGGAGTTTGAATGTGGGAATTAACCTGTAATTTCATGGTTCACATAAGCTGTCTTTCTCTAGTTCCAAATGATGTTCTACCTGACTACTATTTGCTTAAGCAACTAATTTCTCATGTGAAAGAAAAATAATTGCTGATAAGTCATGATGCAGTTAAATCTGATCATTTAGTTCACAGCATCTGATTATGTTTCCCTTGAGCATTTGTACAAATTAACTATGCAAAACTGACAGGTGTGGGGTGAAGACGAGTGGCAGGGTGTTATCCTTTTTAATTAAATTCTGCAATATCTAGAAATTCTGATGAGTCGAGTGGTTTCTGACAAACATAACAAACAGAATGAATGGCTTCTCCAAAGCAATTATGAGTTGCTGGAGTATGGCACCACATTCAATATTCATTGCAATCTGCCATCCTCAATCTCAACATTTAGATAAATCAACTTTTTAAATAAAGCCTCTGAACAGTGTATGAATATTAGACAGCTTTGAAAACTCAAAGACAAACTGCAAGCAGGCAAGAGCAGTGGAATCTGAAATACCGCTTTTGATTGGAAAATTATTCTAATTGCTCGTTTTTAGGTAAACTAAGACCTATTTCTATGCCAGTGGAATACAACTGGGCGGGAGAGCATGAAGATTTAAATAGACCGAAAAGAGATGGAAGAAGAGGTGAGTGTCTTTTGTTTACATTTTGCAACAAAAACCAATAACCTGATTTCATTTGAAAATTGACATTCACAAAAATATAGATTAAATTGAACATTTCCACTTAGAGTCATAGAGTCATAGAATCATACAGCATGGAAACAGACCCTTTGGTCCAATCCAGTCTATGCTGACCATAATTCCAATCTTAGAGGTGGACAGCTTCTTTTTATGTATACCAGGATCTTCCATGTTAATCGCCACAGCTAGGTTTAAATTGGGAGCATATATTGAAGATCAAATAGTAGCCTGGCAATCCCTTACAGTCACTGCTCAAATACTCCAGATAAAATATTCTTCAGAGTAGGGGTCTTGCCGGCCAGTGACAGACCCATCCATACTTACTCTTTAAAGCAATGTGTGCCAGTGTAATTCTAATCATTCATTGATGGGGCCACTGTCACCTTTTGTCTTGAAGTAAGATCCCCAACAAAGCAACTCGCCAATCACAAGCAGTGCCATAGAGTATGAAATGACTGCTGCTTGAAGGACACCCAGGACTATATTGGGGACAGCAGACATATGGGAATACCACCACCTTCGCATTCCCCTCCAAGCCACTCACTATCCTAACTTGGAAATATACCACCATTTCTTCACTGTCACTGGGTCAAAATCCTGGTCAACCCACAGCAGGTTGACTGCAGTAGTTCAAGAAGACTGATCATCACCACCTTCTCAAGGGCAACTAGGGATGGGCAATAAATGCAGAGACACCCACATCCCACAAAATGAATACAATTTTTAAAAAAGATCAAGGATGATTAAGATGTAAAGGCAGTGATTTGCTTGTTGGGTGACAGAGGGGGATGGTGGCTTCTGGATGGTACAGGTTGTGAGAAAAAGTAGGTGGAGGTTCAGAAGTGAACTCTGAGATGTAGCTCTTTGCAGACACTCCTCTGCCATCAGTTAGGTCTCTCGATAAGGCCTTGAGTGCCTTTGATCCATAGACTGAAGCTCCCATTCCCCCCACTTCTACATCCACCGCTGTGGCCACCAGTGACTAGCACAGGTGGCCTATCAGGCAGGAAACACAGTGACAGACCTTTAAATATAAGAGTTGGAAAGTCATGTTCAGGTAGTACAGGATGTTGGTGAGGCATCTTCTGGAGTACTGTGTCCAGTTCTTGTCACCCAGTTATAGGAAAGATATTATCAAGCTGGAGAAGGTTCAGGATAGATTTACTGGGATGTTGCCAGGACTGGAGTGTTTGAGTTATAACGAGAGACTTGATAAGCTGGGACTTTTTTCACTGGAGCGTAGGAGATTGAGGGGTGATCTTATAGACGTTTATAAAATCATAAGTGGTGTAGATAAAACGAATGGCAGCTGTCTTTTCCTTAGCGTGGGGGATTTCAAGACTAGGGGGCATATTTTAAAGTGAGAGGAGAAAGATTAAAAAGGAATGAGGGGCAATGTTTCTACACACAGAGTGGTTTGTATGTGGAATGAACTTCCAGAGGAAGTGGTGTGTGCGGGTACATTTGTAATGTTTAAAAGAAATTTGGATAAGTACATGAATAAGAAATGTTTGGAAGGATATGGGTCAAGCACAGGCAGGTGGAACTAGTTTAGTTTGGGATTATGGTCAGCATGGACTGGTTGGACCGAAGGGTCTGTTTCCATGCAGTATGACAATATGAGTCTATGACAGACCCTCTTTCTGCATTAATCTTAGTGCTGGTTCTCTGAGGCCCTTATGTCAGCCTTAGTGGTCACCTAAGGGCCACAGTTGGTGTTAGGATAGGATGGTTGACCAAGGACCTTCCTCCCCTGAACTTAATTTGGTGAAGGCAAGAATATGGTGGGGCTTCAGAACTCCTCCACCTCCTACTTAAGTGGCCTGCCCACCTCTTCGGGCAGAGATTATGCCCTTTGCATGGGGATCCCTGTCTTGCTTGTGATTTTGTGAAATCAGTTGGAAACCAGTAAAGGGCTTGAAATAGTGAAGCTTAGATCTAACCCTCACCGTCTGTTAATTAAGAGAACAAGCATTGGTGATTACATATGGCAGCTGGACTGTTACAAGTGCGCAACAGCCTCAAGACTAAATGTGTTAAGTGCACTGAATTTCCGAGGATACCAGAAGACACAACACTCAAATATTGGCTGAACCCGGCAGGATTGATTTGAACTGTTGAGTTACGCTAAGAGCCAGCCCATTCCGCCAGCAAAGAGTCCAGAGATACTTTCATGTTTAGACATTGAAAAGTTGTTTGGCAGATTCAGGCTGGCACAATACTGAGCAGCAGCAAGATAATTCGGAAAGTATTGAGAGAGTAGTTAGGGGTTTCCATTGTGGAGAGAACAGGATGGCCAGGGTAATAGTGAACAAGGTTATTTGTTGGACTAGGAGGTATCCTGCCTCAAACCACTGGTGGAAATTGTTTGAGTTCCTGGTGCAAGCTGACTGATAATGGAAAGCTATAATCTCCTTCTAATAGATTTTATCATAAATAGCAGGCATTCCACCTTACTTTTGAACCTGAAACCTTACATATTGAAAAGCAACAGATTTTTCCTAAGAATTCAGATTGATGGGGCCAGTTTTACAGCATTATAGCGAGTTATTTAAGTGGTTTCCAATTACAAAATTTAGTGAAAGGGTTAATCGTGCATAGGAGTTACATATTACCTACAGTGTAATAAAAACCGATATAAAGCCCTGATGCTGGAAACATTGCATGTCACATACTTGCTCGATTTGCAGCACACCTCATTTTGAATTAAACAATATGTTCAGATAAATGGAGCCTGCACTAAAGCTAAAGCGTCAACTGAACACGAAAGGTCAGAGCACCTGTCAAACTAAATATTCTTGCAGTGAGTGCTGCTTCCAGAGCTTCCCATTTCTCTCAAAACATGCGCACGTGACCAGTCCACCTGCCTGCTGATGGATATTTTTTCCAACACTGTTAGAAAAGTTGCCACTAAACTTGTCATTTATTCCAAAGAAGAGTTAATGTTTGACTACTCGAGCAATTAGGGATGGACAGCAAATATTCCCTCTGCCAGTAAAACCCACATCCGCATTCAAAACATTTCAGTCCCTGTGTTAACTCTTTTTCTTGTGGGGCACCGTTTTTTGCAATGTCTCATCATATTATTTCCCTCCATCTCCCACATTTCTACCGTATTTCTTTTCCAGAAATATTTCTCTTACAGAAAAGTGTTGAGAATAAACAACTCATTTGAAGGGGGTCTCAAATAGCATTCCACAATTTAATTGCTTGGTTAATGATTGGACTGCAAAGTTAAATGGAAAACAGTCAGTTTCTACGTGCACCTCCGTCAGTAGCACAGAGTACAGATTGACCTTCTCAGGGGAAACCTGGCTTTGGCATTTCCATTTCATAAAGTAAATGTCCTGTAGCTGTTCTTTTTTACCCTGGAAGCAGAGATTCAAATACATTTCACCATAAAGATGATTCTTTTCATGCTCATAACAACATTTGCACTATAGATCCTTATAAGCCATATTCAACAATACATGTTGAATAAGCTATCTACAGGGTCCTCAAAATGACGGACATGGCACAGTTGCAGCAAGACAGGACCCAGAACTTCTTTCAAGTGCCTCCTACACCCTGCCCAATTTTCTTTGTGTCTACCTACGTAAAGGTCGCTGAAAGGAAGGTTGCCATAAGCTTCAGGAAGTAACAGCAATGATACTGAGATGCCTGTCATGGAATAGTGACCTATTCTCTCTTCCCTTCATTTCCAATGCAGAACAATTAAAGACCCCAGTTTTGAATGAACCCATCAGTGGGACATCCTCTCTGAGTTTTGGGCACTTCTTCCCCTTTCACACTGTTCCTGCATTGACATCCATGTCAAAGGTCCAACAGGAATTGTTATGACAGAGAATCCTATGATGCAAATGTTGTGATACCTGACCTCGGAAAACAGCCTACAGCTGAGTGGATACAGAAGATACAGAGGATACTAAAGTCTCTCGTACTCTCGTGAAATGCGATTCAAGGGCATTTAATAATAGGAATATGTTAAAATTAGTAACGGATCCAAAAAAAAAGCATAAGAGTGCTCACAAAGTGCTTTGACCCATCAATACATAGCTGATGTTCGAATTTAAAATGTAGTCTCGAAGCTTTGCAGCTCAAGGGAAGCCAACAAAGACTAAGATCTTCCCTTTTTCTTCTAAGTGTGTGGCCAAGTGTGTTATGTGGCAACACACACGCCACCCCCACCACTAACATAACTCAGTTTATCACACAGCTATGAGCTTATTAAGAGCTGAGAGGCAGCCTATAGGTGAGCATCTCGCTCTATCAGGCACCGTGACACTGACAACCAGGGTCACCAGAAGCTGCCAAACAACTGCAGGCTGCCCGTCAAAGCCTCGTCTGGAGGCCATCCAATGACAAAAGGTTAAGTCTTTTTTTCCCATCACATCATGGATAGAGAGGGATCTGGTGATTCGGAGACCCACTCTCTTCCCCATCATCCATGCATCTGATTGCTCCCAGGTTGGGGAATTGGAGGCCTACCACCCCACCCCCAGACTTAGCAGACAGATCACCCTGGTTTCCTAATTCGGAAATTAACTGATGTTCTTACCTATCAGGGAGACAGGTGATTGCGAAAGTGGTGAGTTGAGGCCCTTAAGTGGCCATTAATTGACCATCTAAGGGCCTTCATTGCTAGCAAGTAGAGAAAGTCATCCATGGAACTTTCTACTCAGCAATTAATTGCAAAGCCAATGAGAAGGGAGTGGGTTTCTCTGCAGAGTATTGTCACCCAATTATTTCCCTTTCCTGACAGGTTAAGTGGATTGGCCATGCTAAATTGCCACGGTGTCCAGGGATCTGCAGGATAGGTTGATTAGCTATAGCAAATGCACAGTTACAGCAATAAGGTAGGGGTTGGAAATGGATGCTCTTTAAAGGGTTGGTGTGGACTTGTTGGGTCGAATAGCCTGCTTCCTCACTGTAGGGATTCTGTG